AGCCCCAAAACCTGCAAACCCAAAGTCGCCCCAGCCCCTCCGACCCGAAATGTCCAGAAGCCTTGAGCCGAAAGCCCTGAACCAGAAAAACCCTAAACCCTAAACCCTTAAACCCTTAAACCCTAAATCTAAACCCTAAATCTAAACCCTAAACCCTAAACCCTAAACCCTAAACCCTAAACCCTAAACCGTACCCTAAACCCTAAACCCGAAACCTTGCCCACGGCCTCGCGGAGCGGAGCGGCCCAGGCCCGGGAAGGCGAAGCGCTGCAAGGGTTTAAGTGAATTGACGGTGTTTGAGCCCCCAGGCAGGCTTAAGTGAATTGACGTTGTCACGGTTTAGGGTTTAGGGTTTCGGGTTTACGGGTTTAGGGAACCAGTAAACCCGTAAACCCGAAACCCTTGTTTTTAATTAGTTGTTTAGGGTTCAGGTCCTGAGTTTTGGGCGGTTTTTACTTTTTCCTTTTGCTTTGCCCTTTAGTCTTGCCTACTTAATTTACTTAAAACCTTTCCGGGTGCTCTTCGCTCCACTTTGCATCCGCAGAAGCACATGATTTCTGAAACTTTCGTTTCTGTGCTTCCATTCTGTCCGTGAAACATTGGAAGCAGAGCAAGCATACAGGAATCTTTTTTGGCCGTGCAGTTTAGGACGAACAATTTCTACTTATCCTGGGCTTGTGGGTTTCGGGTTGAGGTTTTCGGGCTCGGGTTTAGGGGTTTCGGGTTTAGGGTTTAAACCTTGTACAACGTCATCCTGATTACCACTCAAGCTGGCATCCTAGCGAATCAGATCCACAGGACAGGTGTAAAGGCTCTACGGATTTTTGTTTGTCGGATTTTGTGCGGAAAGGGGCTCAGGGTTTTTTTGCGGCTTTCATGGGCTGACGGGCTGTCATGGAGCTGCAGGGTCAAGGGGGCAAGCAAGGACTTTGGGTTAACGGGTTTTGGCCTTCAGGGTTTCAGGACTGAGATTACGGGTTTGTATAGAGGGCTCGAGGCTTTAGAGTTTGCCGGATTAAATTAGCCCTAAATGTAAAACAATGACCTGGAAAGACTTAAACTAACAGCCGAAAAATGAAAGCAACCACAAGCAACCTAAATCTGAAATGAACAGCAAAAAGCCACAAAGATAGAAGGTGTTCCGGGCATTTTCGCGTAGTACCAACTGCAGCCGTCCGAAGGACGGACTGACATCAGCAGGTTCTTGGACTTTTGGGTTTAGGCTTATGTTTTTCAGGGCAGGCTTTAGGGTTTAACAACTAATTAAAAACAAACAAAAGGCAAAACCCGGTCACAACCCGCACCAAACTCAGGACCTGAACCCCAAACAAGTTCTATAAACCCTAAACCCTAGACTCTAAACCCTAAACCCCGGCCCCCCCCCTCGCCAACAACCCCGAAACTTCATGAACACAAGTAGTGGTATAGATAGCGCTCATGCCATCTCATGCCATCAACCAGTAACATTACCGTTCGTGGAATCCTCCAATTACCATGAAAGGCGAAACTCTAAACCTCAAAACCCTAGACCGGAAACTGATAACTTCCTAGTCAGTTACGGGCACAAAAACAATCGTCTACTAAACATGCCAAACCATGCTCCGTGCCTGCAGCAGTGCATTTGTTGCTCTCCAGCGCTTTGTGTAGGGGTCTGTCGGTCAGTGACATGGCGTCAGCTGGAAAGAACAGATGTGTCTTTTTGTCTTGCTGGAACTCGTCATGTCTGATGCACCAGCAAGCCAACAAAGCCTGCATGGCAAACAAAACGAGTGATGCAGATAGTGCAGTCATTACAAGGGGGTTGGTATGAACGTGAATTCTGGTAGGATATATTGCGTGGTCAGACAAGCCTCAACACAACCTTCGGCGATGCCTACAGCTTCTTGCAACCTCTGCGCTCGAACTCGGCTTTGATTTGCCTCAAGGAGACCCCTTCATCATTTTGAACTTGACAAGTTTGAGTGAAGTCAATGCTAGGTCCCCGGCTGAGCATCACAGATGCAAGGAAAGAAGTGCACCATACCCGGCACAGCCCCCTTCTCGAGAGCCTCCGTGCAATCTCGCGAATTCCGAGCTCGGCTGGACTGGAAGCTAGCCTCTGGTGAGTTCGCGGCTGCTCCAGGTCCTGGCATTCTCTGTCACCTCTTGTGCAGACCGGGGTTGGATTCGAGGAGGCCTACGCTCCATTCCGTATCTGGCGTCTGCGTCTCCTGAGCAGCGCGAACACGGCTTGCTTCAACCCATCCTTTCATGTACCCATCGCTGTCGACCCGGCCCGGTTCAGCCTTCAGGCCATGTCTTGGATGGTGGAGTGAGGCATGTTCTCCGCGCTCCAACATGCGTTTATCCAGCTTAAGAGAAGCTCGTTGCTAGCTGAAGCCAAACGGCAGAAGCTTGCACGAGTTCAATTTGCGCTACTTTTGTGCGATGCTTGCGGAGGCACAGCACATTACCTAAAGGTTCGTCCCGGCATGCCCGTCCATTCCCCGCAACTTGCGCTTGCAACTTGCTTGTCCTTGAAGTAGACCAAGATCGGCGGCAAGCCCTTCTCCACCAATCCCTGCAGTGTGCTCATCAAAGGTTTTGTTGACTACCAACAGATGGACAATTGGCAAATCGAGCGGTGCCTTTGGAAAGAACTCCCAGTTGACGAAACTTGAATATTTCCAGCGATTCTGGCCACCCACGACGATGTTTTCTCCTCTCAATCTTCTCAGTGGCCCCTTCTCGAAATGCTGAAGTCAACCACGATGCCTGCCTGGCTTCTCTAGCTCTTCTGCATTACCGAGGGTGCGCAACTCGAATGCCTTCGAAGAAACAAAGATTTGGTATGGTTACTATGCGCATGCACCCGTGAGACGGAAGGCTTTCAGAGAGCATGGCTTGCAGATCTGCTGCAAAGCTGTCTGTGCTAGGATACGCAGAAATCAAGCGGCTCAGCCCACACAGACCATCGCCTCATTGTCAAAGACAAATCGGACTCTGCCTGCCTGGACCTCACAAACACTGTTGTGAGTCCACCAAAGCCCGGTCAGAGACGAATGGCTGAGACCCTTACGAAAAAGAGGATGCCCAACACAGTAATGAGGGCGCCGAGCCCAAACCTTGTACACACAAGTGACAGGCAAAGCTGTTTCAGACTCCGTCCCACGACAGGCTCGTAGATTGGTGGCTTGAGGTGCTAACCCCAGGTATGGTAGTGTGCAAAGCGCGATGCCCACAGCAGAAAAGACGGCCGCCAGGGTGTAGTCCTGCCAGAAGCTGCTTGATGCTCAATCCATACAAGGGCACTCGTCCGTGTCGCACTGTAGACTCATGCGTTCCAGCCTTGCTTTTCTAATCAGAACAAATTACGGTCGACAACATGATAAGAAGCCAATGTGCAGTTGCAACATCCTGTCCCCACAATGCCATTGGAAACTCCACATGCTTGACGCCGGAGATGCTCGAGAAGGGAGGGCGGTTTCTCAGAACTGAAACAAGTCTTTTCCTTATTCCTCTCCCCAGGCAGTGCATCAAACCTTTCTACAAGACATCTACGTATCTATGCATGCATCTACATCTCTGGCTCTACATAGATACAGATACATACATACATCCTTGCATGCATACATACCTCATACAGACATACACACACAAGAACCCAGTATACGTACATGTATGTGTGTGTCTCTATATATATATATATATATTTGTATGTTTCGCGAGAGAGCGAGGAGAGTACTGTGGGTGTAAGACTGTACGTGCTTGCACAAAAACAGAATGTGGTCCAAATGATGTTCTTGATGCTGGCCAGCTGTGAATGCTCCGACCCTCCACATCGCGCCCCGACCCCGCCAGAGCACCCGGAATGATGCTGATTCTTGGGGGGGGGTACCGCAGCAAATCCATAGAGGAGTGGTCTGTCCAGCATAGTCTCTTCGTCGAAACTCGTTCTGCCTTAAACATGAAGGGAGAATGACAGCTGCCTTCGGCCTTCGGCATCTTGATGCGCCCCGAAACTACACCTCGATTCTAGAAACTATCCGAGCTGAACCACCACTCCCACTTTCCTATCGCCAGCGGATAACTACGGGTAAATAAGGAATGGCATAAATATCAGACAGTGTACATGTCTTTTCAGTTCATCAAAGCAGATCAGGAGAACTGATCAGGACTACGCAACAGCTGCGCCTCTTTGATGACGACAGCAGGCTGCGAACTCTGGGACTCACCGAAAAACCTGGATTCAGTTAGCTTCCGAAAGATGTTTGGCCATATATATATATATATATGTATATGCCTTACATGCCTAGTAGCACCGCCATTCTACAATATTCTACTCTCTTTTATAATTTGTTGTTATCCTTTTCGTATTCCATTAACACCAGCTGAATACTCCGCTCAAAGCTCTAGGAGCCGGGCTGGCGAGAAACCTGGATCGGAACGTGATTTGGGCCACGAAAAGCCAATGGGTGCAATTCTGACAGCACTCCTGGAAGAGTTCTGCTAGCACGGCTCAGAAAAGATCTCTTACTGGCACCTTGGAGGTCGATGTTTGCGCTCTGGTCGCCGGTGCTCCTTCAAGGAAACATAGGACATGCACTGGCGGGTACGCTAGGTGAAGAGGGAACGCTTGGAGGTGGCAGCAGGCAGCCAGTGGACGCTCCACAGGGTACTGCAGCCTTTTGCGCGTCTGCCAGGATTTGGTCTGTCCGCTCGTAAAATTTGGCCCGGAGCACCTGTTCACTTCAATTTGCATCCAGAAAGGCAAGAAGGATCCGCATGTTTAGGCAAACTCCTACCTCGATTCGCTCCAGCTTCTCTTCGTGCACGCCGGGATCGCGAGCATCCTGCAATGAACGGAACTTTTGATACTTGCATGTGGAGCCTCACAGCATCTGTTCGCTGTCCAGCCAAGGCTCGGAAAGAAGCAGGCGGTTTTCGTACCAGTAGGCTGTCTCTTCGCGAAGTGCAACAAGGCAAAGTCCATCTGGGTCACAGAGAATCCAGCCTTTCGTCCTGCCCGAATCCGCTGGAGGGCAAAACATGCTTATCACCGGCTGGCACCTGCAGTGCACATGCCTTGTCATGCAACACGTGTCAGCTTGGTTCTGTCCTACTGAAACAACACAAAGCAACTGAGAGCGGTCGAAGAAAACAATGTGCAAGAAGCGCTCACCAGAAACCCCCAATCATCATGGGCCTCTGAAAAAGTTCGCGACTCTTCTCGCGGAGCGGTGCCTTCACTTCTTCCACCTCGAAAGCCACCTGCAGGGCGCCAAAAGCTACCAGTGTGTCGGCAACTATTGAACCCCGAAACATAGTCATCAACTTCTGCCCACATTCTGCGTGGCATAAACGAAGTGGAAGTCCAGAGGCGGCGCGAGCCATGCGCGCAAAAGCCTTAAAGAACAGCAGCAATCAATCAATGTGATACCAAAACTCTGCAAGACTCTGCGTTGATTTTGCGCAGATGCCAATTTCGGCTGCTCCATTTGGAAGGTCTGAATCACAATCGAAAGCAACAAAAATATGCCACCTTTTTCGGCCTTTTCTAATCAGCAGCAGCAGCAGCAGCAGCAGCAGGGACTGCCTTCAACTGCACGCCGCACGTGGTTGTGCCATTTGTGCCATCTTCAGACGTTTAGCTCCGCTGTACGAAAACTGGGTTGGGCCACGGTCTTGGGCGAGTTTGTAGGTTGTATTCGATTGTCCAGTCAGTCAATCAGCTGTCCGTCAGTCGGTCAGCCTGTCTGCCAGTCAATCGAGCTGTCGGTTCACGCGCCAGCTGTTGTCTTGTGATATCCCTTTATCACAATGTTTTCCACCGGTTCATGTTTCGACGCAAGAACGCACTATCCAGCTGACGGTTCGAAGGAAGATTCATCCCTGTGAGTAAGTTTTCCTGTGTTCGTCAACGAAAGCCCACGCCGCGCCACAACCCGAATGTTGACAGTATTGCGGTGAGCCGGGAGGGATGGCCCGTCAGTCAGTCAGTCAGTCAGTCACTCACTCACACACTCCACTCACACTCACTCACACACGCACTCACTCGCCCACTCACTCGTTCTTGACATTCCAAGTTGGCATATCGACGAACTTCGGTGCCAGAGCACCGGCAGAATAAAGCCGCGTAGCTTCGTGAACAGCTCGGTGCGATCCCCGCTGCAGTCTGGAAGCGAAATCTTTCGCCTCGGGGCGAGCATATCGCAACGAGCGTCTTCAGCCGCAGAAGCTGTACGGGCACAGTAGCATCTGTAGCCTATAGTGCAGCTCCCTCGAAAACAGACAAGTCGTCCACGGGCTGGTCCTGATTGAAAAGTTTACCTTTCTGAAATCTTGTGACCAGGTCTGTGCAAAATGAGTGGCAAAGCATCGGATCATGGAAGGATCGCTTGCTCAGCGACTGGTTAGTTAGTTAAAGTCACATGTATCAGCATGCATAGCCATGACCAGCCAAGACCGACAGTGTGTTAGGTCGAAGACAGCCAGTTCCAGTCCTGTTGCCTGGGGTAGAACGCCAAGCGGTCGAAGTCAGTTTCCCGGTCATTGTCGAAATTGCAGAAGACCCAGTATGGTGCAGGTGGAGGGAAAAGCTGTGCAATCGGCATCCGGATCAGCGCAAAGCCGTGCTTCTCTGCAATGCGTGTAAAGGATGTGACGAAGTGAACCATATGAGTGGAAGAGCAAACCTGGCAGCTTGTAGATGTGTTTCAGGCGTTGGTGGCTGCAGAATGTGACTGTCAGAAACACCGCAACTCTTCAGTTTGGCCAAGACGCAAGCCATTGAATTACAAAGTTGAAGAGCTTTGGTGGAGCGAATACGTCGTCGTAAAACAGCTCGAACCAATCACGACTGCCCTTGAAGGCGGTTTGCAGGGTTGTGTCTCGTATGTACACAGTGCTGCACCCGCGTCTGACCAGAAAAGAGGCCCCGGTAGAATCCTCGCTGATATCCAGACCAGAACCATCATCTGTAGGCACCGAGCTACGTGGCGACGGCAAAGGCTGCTTTGTGCTGTCTTTTCTTCCAAAACACAGATCCTCCAGGTCTGCCTTGAAAGCGGTGAAGTTGTCGAGAGTTTGTTGTCTGACGTCTTTTGGAAGAAATGTCCTGCCGCTGGATTGCAGCACCAAGAAAAAGTCCGTGCCGACTCCAAACTTTCCGTTCAACTGCTCCACGGCTTGCTCGAAAATTTGCGCATGTGAGCCAGTACCGGGAGGCTTCAGCACGAAGAGGTTCTGCTTGAGGGCGCTGCGCAGCATCCAACCTCAGAAGAAAAGGGGCTTCGTCCATCTATGTCCAGCAGCCAGTGCTTCCGAAGGCCCAGCCTATGCACGGGTCTTGGGCTCGTTGTCCGTCAGGTCCTTCCGAGCCGTTAGGCGCAGTGGCTGCACACGTCTGTATCTTCAACCCACGCTGCCTCTTGTCCGTCTTTCCGCGATGAGTACTGTCATCTTCAGACTCTTGGCGATGCGAGAGACGATTGATGGCAAATGAGACCATGGGGGGATTTGCCCTGCTTGCAATCGCTAGTCACAGTTTGTGACCTACTGACATCATCTGACATCACATCCATTCCGACTTTGACCGAACCTAGCAGTAGAATATCTACATGTTTAGCAGCCGAATTCATGGGCCTGCTTTGACTGGATACGGCAGCGCCGGTGGCATGCGCAGGCCACCAGCCACCTTATGTAGTGCAACGCACAAGAGAGCCGTCGGGGCTGTCCACGAAAGCTTCCAGTGATTCAACCCCAAGCTTCTGTGTGAGGCATCTTCAATACGGCAAAGAGAGCTATGCACAGATCGAGCTGCGACTGCATCCAATCGGTTCCAGTCGGGCTGGGCTGGTGCATGAAAGCGCACCCGGGCTGGGGCCCAAGTAGCCGATGAGGCCCGAAGCTTGGGCGCCTTAAAAGAGAAGCGTCACACTGATGCTTGCGGCTGGGCTTAACCGTAACCGAACCCCCAATCACCAGCAAGCACCAGTTTCGACAAGGAGCCTCTCCGAACATGCTACGAGATTGAGCCAGCTGCGACTGCCGCACAAGATTCCGGCGAATATAGAAACGGTACTCATGCATCAGCTGGTGCTCTTCCTCTTGCTCCTCACACATCGGCAAAGCACACCGCAACAATTAATCTGACAATATCTGACGTGGAAAACGAGTAGACTCGGCTCGATAAGGATCACAACCCTTTGGCTGTCAAGGGGTGGGGCTTTGATTTTCAAGCCCCGGCCAGGACGAACTTCGCGCCTCGTGGATTTCTAAGGGCTCCTCTCCTATCTGAGGATCGAAGTGCCATTGTGTGCCGGCCGCCCGCACCACCAGGCGTCGCAGGGAGGTGGGCACAAGCCTGGAGCTCAGTCTGCCCTGCTTGCATCGAATCCCCCTGCTCCCACGAGCTGCGCTTGCTCGTGCGGGAGAGCCGCTCGCCGTGGATGAGCATGTCTTCCTCCCCAGATGTTGCTTCCGCCTCGGGACTCTGCGCCAAACGCAGCTGGCAGCGTTTGTCAACTTGCGGCCTTACTCTGATATGCCGTGCAAAAACACTACACAACACTGACACTTTCTCCAGATGCAGATCCTTTGCGCAGCGATCTTTATTGCTCCAGATGCCCCTCAAGAACTTCTAGGTCAGCTACGTGCACGTGCCTTCCATGGCCTCCCGAGTCAAGTTCACCACTGCTTGCTTTTATGCGGCCGAGTCACGTCGGCGTCTGCGTGGGGAGGACAGGGCACGGCCATCCTCAGTTTCGAATTGTTCTCCACCTGAGAGTCGTCATTGCGGAGAACATGGAGAACGCTTGCAGAAGCATGATAAGCATGACATTAATGATATTCGATGCCACTTTGCCTTCTCGTCCCACTCGTAGAGCTGTGCCCCCGGAATGACTTCCTGAGCTCTCCGAGGGAACGTAAGAATCCTCGACATCGCCGCAGCCCAGTGACTAGGCGAAGGCCCACAAGGTCGTGCAGTGCTCGGATCCTAGCGGCAGGGCGTTCTCAGATTGCATGAAATGTCTGGCAAAATGTCGGTTGCGTCTGAGGGAAGCTCTTTTCAGACTCGACGTCTGCAGAGTCGAAGCGGCTTGGAGAGACCGTGTAGGATGAGCCCTTTGGCAGCCTCAAAGATTCGGGCACGGACGATGTAAATCGCAGCCAACACTGTGTTTGTGCTTGTGTCCGAGCAGCACAAGTGTGCCGGTTTCCGGTAGTGCACCTTGGGGATGTGGCAGCAAGCACGACATGCACAATCCATCCGATGTCTTCAACAGGACTGCTGATCCGACCCTTGGCTGCATGTTGTCTGCTCGGTCTGTCAAGACTGACCACGGATTCCAACTGACCTGGAGCTAAGCCATCGACGGTTGAAGAATGAGCGCAAGGCGGGAGCACGAAACTTCAGGGAACAAGGATGGATAAATGCAGTCATGCGGAGTCTCCTACACTTGCTTTCCCAAGCTATTGCGGATGCACGGTCAAGCGCTAGCTTCCCCAGCCCTGTCTGACAATCACGTATGGCACAGGGAGGCATAGAGAAGATGTTGCCCGCGGACTTTCTGCATGGC